ACCCGAATTCGAGAACTGACCACTAATCTAACCTTCTCTTGAGTGTGAAATACGATTACACTGAGATCCCAAACATTTAATATTGTAATGATTAACTGGAGACTGGAAACCTTCTCTTTCTCCACTCTGGGATATTGTCAACTATTCTGATTTCTCCATTTTAGTGTTATGGTTGTTTGAAAGTACAATAGCACGTTTATCTTAACAAGAATATTTTCTGAGAAATTGCTCTCTCTAACGTGGGACAAACTACTTACTTTGTTTAGTAAGTAGATTTTAAATTATTTGTCATGCTACAATTATTCGTGTAATTTTGGGAAAGTGTGCCGTACGTCAGAACATCACATTTTACAAAATTAGGATATACAGAAAAATGAAATTTATTTAGTGATTACAAATCAGACGTGACAATATCGTGAAAAATCGTATCAGAAACAGACAATTTGAATTGTTTATTCTGAAGTTGCTCTTGAACAGTAGTCCCACAAAATACCGTGTTAAACTCATCAGGTCTCTAGAAGAAATTCTTAGATCCTTTTTGGAGTTTGTGATGGAGTCGTGATGCAAATTTTCATGTCTATTTATATGCATGTGTCTGTTGCACGTATATATATATAAATATAAACAATAAATCCTAAATTAGATTTCACTTTCTTTAATCCATTTCACAACTTGGGAAGCTTTGCCAATGGCCACAGGTGAAATTGTTAAATTATTCGTGGATATTTCAACAAAATGATTTAACAACGTCAACCATAGTGTTTCTCATAACAGATAAAGGTTTGATAAATGCAGCTACGCAGATATTAATACAGATGTTAATGCAGATATTAATTAAATAGTATTTCCCTACACTATACTTTAGAACATCACCACGTTTTCGTAACAGGTAGGAGACTAACACTGAATTGCTAGATTCGAAATTAAACAAAAAATCTGCAGTGCGTCTAGTTTGAGACAAGCCACAAAACTTTTACATGTAGACATCAATTTATCAAAACATGGCTTATCGTGCCCCTATACGTCTATTTTTGTTTTATAAAAAAAAAGATTAATTAAGAACTGGCACCAAAATGGGCAGGCATTTATTTAACGAACGGCAAGACACTGGGAATGTCGCGAATCTGGAAAATAAAAACAGAAAACGTTGGAAATCGACTGAAACTTTAGCTCGATTTCCCTCCGCGGATGCTGTCTGACCTGCTGAGGATTTCTAGATTTTCCAGCATTTCTGTTTTTGTTACATATTTATTCATGCTTTTTCTCTTGGCGATGATTTGTTTGTCAATAATACGCCATACATTTCGTTTTTCTGTTTGTAGCTAAATCTACTGATGCGGCATAAGCAAGTGAGGTCTAACTTAGCAATTTGGATCAATAACATTCAATGTTAAGATTTTCTGAGGAAATATTTAGGGGAAATAGTAACCCGCTTTATTAACGAAAACAAAACTTTCACAGTTCTGCTTCAATGTTTATTTGAGTTTCACTTTAACCAGGAGATCAAAACTACTTTTTTTTTATGACTGCCACCTTGCTGTTAATAAATAGACACCTTGCATTAGTGATTCCCACATGTTCAATGCAAACGATCATTTTCATGCTTAAGTGTTATTTTATCCGGTACGAAATACTAAGAATATTTGGTTGCAGTGGGGATCAAACATCATGAATTCAATGCTCTGTTCTTTTAGGATGCGCAGCTTATCTTGTAACTGCCACCCGCGGCAATAAAACAAAATAACTTCAGTAACATCGTTAGATCTTCGATATTTTTTAGCGCACAACGTAACGAGTTTCGCATAGTTCCGTGATATTTCTTAAAGGCCATCCCTTAATCTAATTTTCATAGACAAGAAACAAATCAAAGCGTTAGGAGCGGAGAGTGAGCTGAATGAGACGGCCAGTCAAAGGTTTAATTCGTTACACTTTTTTTGTAATGGAGAAGGCTCAATCTAATTAATGAAGAGCGTCAGGAGTCAAGTTAAATCTGCATTTACGGATGCACTTCTTTTCAAAGCCAACCGAGTTCCTACTCTTTGTCAATAATTGTACGGAACTACCTTTTAAGAAGAAGACAAAAAGACACGAATGTTATAGCAACAAGTACGCCGGACTTACTGTTATCTCAACATTGCAAAAATCCTTCGATAATGTCATAAACATTAGTGTCATAAAGATTATAAAGTCGTTAAAGTAAACAAGTATTCTATGTGTCTGTCATAGGAAAATCGTGAAACTTTTAAAATTACAGAGTGTACAAGGGCATTATAAAAACAGATGTATAAATGAAACCGAATTAAGCACATCCACTAACTCAATCAAGTCCAAGTTTGAAATAAAGCATAGTTCTTACACAATCAAGAACCGAAATATTGCAGGAATCGTATAGCATAATAATTATTTTTAACTTCAGTCCAACAAATACTATTTTTTTCTCTCTCTGATTTGTCTACAGCAGAGAACAGTTTACCCAATTCGTTTTAACAACTGTCTTTGTACTTACAAAGTGAATTAACATGAATGCTATAAAGCTATAAATGATTAAAGTACTTACTTTTCATTGATAACAGTTATACATAGAAAAGTAATTCCCAATTGGAGTTTAGTAGCATCCCGATCCGTGCAAATGCACCTATTATTTAAACAGGGCATTTTGGTTTTGTCTTCTGTATCACATGACAGGAAACTTACAAGAAAAGTAATCCTTTACCACTGGCGCACTGTTCATCGGGTATTTAAGTTGCAATGCGTTCTTTCAATGCGAGTTAATTTGTGAAGGTGGAGAGATAGTTGATACTCAATCTTAACCACGTTAACTCTGTAAAAGACAAAGTTTTACGTGACTTACTGTAAAATGGCAATCAACAAAAAGAGGTGCTTTCTGACGACATTGCTTCTAAAACCGTCAACTTTATAAACAGCAAAGTTGTAGAAATTTGAGTTTGTTTTCGCTTTACTGAAATAATCTTAACTGTAAAAATATAAACCATGCTGCTGTGTAGACCTAACAGTCACGTACCTAACTGCAGCCTAGATTTCTTCCGTTATTCTTAATTTCCAGCATGAAAGAAACTAACCGCTATATTTGTTAATGACGTAGAACAATTGCCATCAACGTGCTCCTATCGCTTCAACTTCACAAAAACTGCCAACTTGCGAAAAAAAGATCAGTATGAAAGTGTTAACTAAGGTCAGCAAGATTGTTATTTGTATAACCTTAAGTCGAGATAAATCTGACTTGGCAAAGTAAAATTGAAAATTAGGTCTTCAAAGATTACAAATTGCTTAAAGAAAGTGATTTGAGTGCATTAAGGTAATGTATTACAGTTCATATCAGAGAGAGGTTGAGTTGAACTGTTCATAATGTGTGTTATCTTTCAGCTTTCCTAATCTCTCTATTTTGACCATTCACCATGATCGGTTAAGCATATTTTCTTCTCGTTCATCTTGAAGAAAAGACAAATAATAAGTATTTGCCCATAAACAAGAAAGTAAACGGAGGCGGTAAAAATAAAGTTTGTTTTAATCGGATGGATTTTGTGGATCGTCCGTGAGATGGACACAATTAATTACTATAAGCTTGTCATGGTGAATACCAAGATTACTGCGCAGTTACTGACCATTTGAAAAAATAACGTTCAATATGATCAAGAAGAGAGGGATTAATCTAAATGTGTCCCGATAAAAAAAACAATTAACTAAACTTGTTCCCTTTCTCGCAAAGGAAATTTGCCTGATTTGTATCATGGTGGACCGTCAATGAATGTGCTATCTGAAGAAGTATGCCGTTTCTCTGCAGCTCGTTAATGGACATCATATTCTAAAATTCGGAAACAGTTCAAACTTCTCGACCCTTTCTCTCAAACTCACTGCAGTTCTCTATTGTATCGACCAGCGACAGCCTTGAAACACTGCACTGGAGCTGGGATGCATTTAAATCCTCAACAGCGGGTACATTCACCTCTTTTGAATACCCTGGTACAGTGGTCTGCTATAAACAGACCGTGTACGACAAACCTATTTATAGACAAGAATACTCGCACCTTTGTGGGAATATTTTGCCGTCCAGTTTTGGTTAAGCGTGCTTCACTGTGCCAAAAGAGGCCTGTTTTATTAAAGACGCATTAATGTATAATCAAATGCACCTCATAAAAATTTTATTGATAGACATAAAAGCATTTATGGTGGCTTCTGAGTACAGACTATAAAGGGGCGAAGAACGGTTTACTTCAAATGCAATGATGTTTAAAACAAAATAAAATATTAGCTGAAGAAAATTCGAAATGTGGAAAATAGACTCAGCACGTTGCTATACACCAGATTTTAAAACAAGCAGCTCAAAATCTTCGTTTTACAACATATCGTTTACTCCTCTTATGGGATAAACCAATCAATGGTCTGTAAAGGCTTTTTTTTTCTAATCTGGGATGTACAGTATAGAAGCACCAACGTACCTCGAAGGTGTTTTCTTGCCGCTTTATTGCACTAAGCTAACAGATATCTGCTCTTGACATAGATCATGGACTACGCACTGCTGATTATGAAATGAGTGACAGACATTAATTAACTGACGGGGAAAGTAGTCCCCATGTTTCTCCAGGGCTGGTTTAACTGCGCTTGCAGAGATTGCTCCTTTGGATCCAGCAGAATTTTTCCAACAATTCTGATCAAGTGATTTTGTTTAATCCATTCATAATGCATGGTTTTCAATTTGGTATAAAGCTGGGCTTGGCCCCGTTGCGGTCAGGCTGATGAGCGGATTGATTTACTCGCTGTATTGGTAAATATAATCACGTGAGTCCCGCAACCAATAGCTGCAACTGTAGTCGGCAAAATACTATGATTGTTCTGTGTGAAGGTATCAGATACACTTTCCAGTGTAACCTTTTCTATGAAAGCGAGAGAGCCTAAAATGTCGACCGGTGGCACTATACACAATTATTATGTTGATTCTTTCATAGGTCAAGAGACAGAGGACTTATATGCGGCTAGGTATTCCCAAGGATCACACGGCGCAGCTTCAAGGCCATCAGGTGTAGCAGACACTTCAGATTTCTCTTCCTGCAGTTTTACCCCCAAGTCAACCGCATTTTCAAATCCCTGGTCTCCCGTTCACCCTCAATCCTCTGCCGCCGTTGCAGGAATCTATCATCCTTACATGCATCAATCGCATCTTGCAGCTGGAGACAGCAGATACGTGCGCTCGTGGTTAGAACCGATTTCCAGTTCAGTCTCTTTCCCCGGATTCCATCCTAATGGCCGGCATTACGGGATCAAGCCAGAAACTTTATCAACCAAGAGGACTGAGTGCTCTTCCTATGAGCTGCAAACTCTCAGCCTGCCGGACTTCACTTGCGGCTCCTACCCAGAGTGCAGGGAGAAGCTTCCCAAGGAGCTTGGTTGCACCAGCTCCGAGACTACGAGCAACAGTGAGCACAAGGAGGAGAAACAACAGCAACTTGACCCAAGTAAGTGCAAAAAATTGCAGCTTGATTTACAACCCGAACCTGTAGAAGCGAGTATGCAAAGCTGATGGTTTTACAAACCTATAAACATGTCTAGACGCCTACCCAAGTCTGAAAAGCCACAGCCACAGTAACGAGTTCATATTGTTTACAGGGAATTTTTACACACAAATTTGAGTCTGACATGATTTTAAAACGACAGCGCATTCCTCCTCGTTGCACTTTACAGGGCAATTTGAAAGTCGAAAGTAGATTTTTTTCGCCAAATTAAACTTTTGTAACTGTATTTTACCATTCTTTCCATCAAAAATTATTTTCTGTTTCATAACAACCCATTTCAACACGACCAGAAATAGGTTGAAATCAATGTTTCAACTTCTCAGTATATTAAATCTCACTGAACTTGTCAAGTACGCAGTGGGGAAGAGCACTGCAGCTTTGATCAATATTATTGCGAATGTGGACATTCTTTAAGCTGTCTGAAATTCCATGGAAAATTTCAAGAGATGTTCATGCTTTAATTCTTGCTTTTTTCCCCCTCCCATTCCTTTCAGACCATCCCGCAATAAATTGGATCCACGCGCGCTCTACCAGGAAGAAGCGTTGCCCTTACACCAAATACCAGACGCTTGAATTAGAAAAAGAGTTTTTATTTAATATGTATCTCACCAGAGACCGGCGTTATGAAGTTGCTAGAATTTTAAATCTTACTGAGCGGCAAGTAAAGATTTGGTTTCAAAACAGAAGGATGAAAATGAAAAAGATGAACAAGGTGAAAAATAATGAAGAACCTTGAACGAACAGCTGTTTCTTAACCATAGGTCAGAAAACCCTACAGACGGTGTATAAAGCGTTTTGTCTATCTAGTGGTGCCTAATCGAAGCACGGTTTATGTTTCTCAGTGTTGTACTGCTCCAGAGCAACCTCGTGTTTAAACAAATGACATTCACCCAGAGACTGTTCCTGACTTGCTGCTATTGGGATACATTAAAACGGAACTTAAACTGAAGTCAGCACGTTGCCTGTATTATTTTAAAACTTTGACATTATTATAATGTACTTGTTTTATATAAAAATAAAACATGGAAATTTGAAGATTTCTGTTGGTTGTGCTACTTGTAAAATGCTGTATTTTCGCTGTACAGTTAGTGTACCATTTCAATATAAGTATAAAGAAATGCAAATCCTTTGCCTTTCTATTTCATTTTTTAATTCGATTATTCGGTGAAATGTAATACAAATGTCACTGGCTGAACATCATTCGGTTATTTTCAAGTGCAATGACATTATCACTGTGTTGATAAAGAGTCGAGCCGATGTACTATTTATTTAAAATATTTCAAGTGAAATTAGCAGACCCATCATGGTCGTTATGGGAGGCACATTTTTCGAATAACCTTAAAGTGTCATTAAACTATAGGCACGTTGACTAAGGAACACAAATCAATTAAAAGGTGTTTAAACGTTGTTACTTTTTTTCAAAAAGCATGGACATTTTTCTGTGCGTTTGGGACAATCTGAAGCAAGCTTATTTTAGTAACAAGTGAACATGATCTGCTTTAATTTTGTGTTTATTGCGTCAACTTCAATAAAGATGTGCTTGCTTGGATAAAATACAATGGAATTAATGTAATGAAGATGTAAAAATATAATAAGACAGTAGCTTTTCGCTTACTCCCTGATCCTTTGCAGTATTCACTAGATACCATAGATGTGAGAATAGATCTGATGCTGTACTGCAAATATCAAAAGACTAAGCAGAAAGTTCTATCCATGTCCACTGGCTTGTATCTCACGATAACAATAAAAAATTATAAACATCTCAATTTTGCTGACTGTTTCAAAAGTTATTTATGATTCGATAAACACTATTTGACTGTAATCTCTTGGTCGTTTAAAAGCAGACAGCAAAGCGGTATATTCCGTCAAGAAGGCATTATATTGCCCCCAGTTCTGTCCGAAAATCAGTGTTGCTAAAAGGATACTGAGATTATAATGACCCAAAGGGATTTTGCTCAAATTAGCTGATCGGCAATCTATTATTGACCTCGGGATGGAAGAAGACCGCTGGTTGGTATAAATTATAAAAACAATTCGGAATCCTGAATTGTAGTAACTAGCAACTACCTTCTCAAACGCATACTGACGCATGTACTCCTATAGCAAATGCAGCTCAAAATATTTTGTAAAACAAAGACGCTTTTAATCAATCGACTTTGATTATTTCCTTAGTATGCGAGTTGGTATTTGCTCGAAGGAAGTTACTTTCGGTCGCTTGTGTAGAAAGGCGTTTATAGTTTATCTTCTATTGTAGGAACAATAAGTTATTTATATTGGTATCGCCGGTATTCGACACATAGCACGTTAGAATGATTCATAGTTGCAAATACACTGGGTGCTTTGGTTAATGATATAAAAACTAAACAACGAAGTACACATTGGTGGCAAAACCGTGGTGCGGATTTATGGTAACTATACGCCTAAGTGGCCACGGAGTACTTTATTTTATGCTACTATCTCATTAATGTACTGAAAACAACCGCGTGTCCTTCTAAAACTAGAACTTCATTCTTTTTGGTGAATCTTCTGAAAACTTTAGTGCTCGGAAGGTGTTGAATTACAACGCCATCTATTGCCACAATTCTACATACAGTACTTTAGAACCGGAAGGAACGGGGTACAATAAACCCCACAACTGGCTAGACGTCTGACCTAATGGCTTTATAGTTTTCTTCATGTAATTACAGACTTCTTTGAAATCAGCCAATTGAGATGTTTTTGTCTGTTGATAACAAACAAAAACGCAGTCTCTGGTTAAAGGAGCGAAGACAATTAATTCGTCTTTGTTACTTGAGTCTGGACAAACTTATCTATTCCCAAACGTGCATGTAGGAAGTGCAGTGAAGTAAACTTCGCTATAAGGCAAGTTTACACAACGATTAATCCGCATGTCTAGTTCAATAACAATAACAACAACGAGGAAAGCTATCGGCTTAGGTCATTAACTGAAAAGGAAAGCGATAGAAAAAAGTCTACATGTTCCAAGTATTTTCTTTGCAAGATGAAAATGATTTATATGCTGTTATGTATGTCCGGTTGTTAAATGACAGTGGAAGCTAAAGCGAGCACCGCGCCTGCTTATGAATTTTTTTAATTTTGTACGTCCAAGTTAATGTTTCTGACCCCGCACACATGTGCATGTAAATTTATTCACAAATTCCAGCAAAATCAGTAGCAGCATGTACAACACATCCAAATGACATTTCTCGGTCTATGGAAAACAAATTTGAATCTTACCAAATATTTAATATTAGTTAATAGTGTGGCCTCTGTTTCTCTGTTTATTTCTTTGTCTTTGAACACGCGTAGAGTAACACATCTCTCTCATCCCACCTCCCCCACTTCCCCACCATCCCTATAACCACATACCTCCCATTCGGATTATAAAATCTGAATATATATTTTTCCATTTTAGTACATATGTAATCAATTGTATAGCTTACATTTGTTTTAGAAAGCCTTTTCAAGTAAATTATGTAGAATTGGCTGAGTGCTTTCTGTTCAATAGCAAGAGTGTAAGTTTCAAACTATCATCTAACTTTTACACATACGTAGACTCGCTGGGACAGCACTGGACTTGAGGATTTTTTTAAAGTGCACTATACATCAAGCAAATCTAGCTGACAGTTCTGAATAATTGTATGTAAAGCAACCTATAGCATTTATTGAGATCTCACTGGAGCTCCTTTTGTGTTCCGTTTCTTAACATGCATATCAACTAGTTCTTCAATGATTCCGTGAAAAATCAAAGGAGCCGCAATGCCTTTTAGGTGTACTTCATGCGACTGTCCACTAGGCGGTGCTGTCGCTCCACTACAACAAAGTAGAAAACTATAAATGAGTGCAGATTCACCGGAAATCGGTTAAAAGGAAAGTAATAAGTTTTCATTGTCAGATCACATTTTGAAAACGTGAATAACAGTACTATCTGTAGCCTGACATTTTGGACTAGTTTCAAACTACAAGCTTAACACAATAATCGTAAATACAAAACCAAACGTTCAAAATCAAACGGGAGTAAGTAAGCACGTAATCACTTCAAAATAAAGGATTCTATATAACATGTTGGAAATGTATCTCAAAATAGCTTCAAAGTGGAAATTTTCGAATTTAAACGACTTGCGTGAAGAATGTGAATGATTTTCTATTACAATCTACGTCAATTGCAACTATTACTTTCACAAGAACACTCCATATTCGCATCTGCATTCTCCTTTGTTGCAATGATGTCCATTCCTCGAAACTGTAAAATATGATCTTTGGGCAACGGTTGACGTTGTATGCTACTGTCGAAGACTGTCATAGTCATCTACCTTTCGCAGTGGGTTTCTGGAAGAAGGATTTCAGAGTTTTTTTCCCCCTCATTGTTTAATAAAAATCACTATTCGGTAACGAAAAGTGAAATTGTACAATCGAGTACAGCAAAGTCACTTCAAATGGAATGCATTTCGAACTAATTTTAGGAAACTGTAGAATTCTCGACTTTAACGACGTAAGTATCGATTTATTTTCTCGTGCATCCAGTTTCAAAACAGCAACGAAAAAGTGATCATGCCTACGTTTAAAAAAAAATCCCCGGCCTCCAATTTTGCAAGTTTATCCTTAAAACACTTCTTTTAAGATTATGTTCGAATCATTTTCAATAATTTATGAGTAATCTTAAGCGTTTGAAATAGTTACAGATTTCAAAATAAAATGACTTGCACAGCACACGTTAATATAACATCTCCCATACATATCCTTGAAAAAATTGACTACATTTTTAAAAATATTGCATAGAGAACAAAATGAGGAGGGCCTGGTTTAAGCTTTAGTTTGTGTCTACACAATGACTTTTGATGTATCTCCTCAACAAGAAAATATTCCCAGGATTTCCATAAAAATACTTGCCACCGTTTTCTTCTGAACATGTATACTTAACTATTTTATATTAGCATGTACTCGGCTCTCCATTGCATTAATACGAATCATGATGTGTGTATTTATTTGTCCTTAATCACTGTGGAATTATTTAGTTAACCCGATATGGCGAACTCATCTTTCGGACTTCTGACGCATTTTTCTCCCATTGGACGGTGCTTTGTCATCGTTTCAGATAACAAAGCAAAAAAGATGTAAAACTAAGTTTAAAACACGCACGCACACACTGAAATTAACGGTTTGATTATGTAAACGTTCCAATTTATGGTTCAGAATCCTTTTTTTAATGCGTAAATTAAGTTGAATGTTTCCTAGAAAAGAAGCACAGCGAGGCGAGAGATTCTCCTCATATCATTTATCCTTTCTTGTAAACTTGTTTAAATGAAGTAATCATTTCGTCAGGAATGATTTGACCGAAGAATAAATTTCCATGTGTAAATACGTACGTAGTAAAGTTAATATCCATCGTATTTATCGGGTTACCGATTGATGCCAATATTCAGTTTATTGAAAAGTGCGGGTTTGCCGGAGAATTTGGCGGGGAATACGATCAGAATCTGCAATTACCATGGAGTTACGACAGGGAAAACTGAAGCTTTTATTCCAATTCATGGATAAGTTCATCATCATCAAATTATAATTGTACAAATTGTGACTTTTTAGCTGGCTTTCTGATTTCAGCAAATAAATGAAGAGGTGCTGGAAAGGAATACAGTTACTGCACATTTGGGCTCATTTTGAATGAACGCATTCTGAATTCATGGCAGTACAAGGAGAATTCTTCTGCGCAGCAGCCAATGAGGATATTGCTGGTGTTATTTCCCTGAAGCATTCTGGCGAGTTGAGACAACCACCCAAGCGTGAGGAACAAAGTTCACTGGTGAACACAAGTTTAACAGATCAAGGACTCTTTTCGCTTAAACTTTAAACACAGTCGCTTAAAGGGAGAAAATGGGATTCTCTTTATTCATGAGCTTTCAACAACTGAAGTTAACCAGCTCGGGAACAGCACTCTTAGAATCTCAGGCTTGCTCTTCCTCCCGATGCTTAAGTTCTTGATCAACTATGAACCTCACACTTCAAACTGTGTGTTTGCCTGAAGAGCCAAGAAGCTTTTCCTCGGCAATGACGCATGCCAGGGCTGAAATGATGGAAATTGTATTCACAGGCATGATTTTCATTTGCCAGTAATTAACCTCGAAGTTTTGGTTAAGTGAACCCAGATCTCTGAGGCAAGGGCAACTATTTCCTCCGCGTTCTTTGGAGAAGGGAGGCTTCATAATCTGTATGAATGTTGCTAACATTTTTAAATAGCAAGGAATGCTTTGTTCAGCTGCTCCCTACTACGTCCAATAACAAGAAGAATTATAGTTGAGTGATAACCGTTTATACGGAAATTGCAGACATATCCGCTAAATCAAATAAAAAGATATCTATTGGCATAAATGTATATCTATTAATGAAACAAAATATCTGTTGAGGCAAATATATATTTGTAAGTATAAGTATAAAGGTATGAATATATATCTGCAAGTATATATATACATATCTGTAACTATAAATACATCTGTAATTACAAATATACATCTAAAAGCACAAGCCAGAGAGTGACAAACTGAGAGATAGATGCAGATCGAACAAGATTTACAGAAACACCCAATAAAAATAATCCGTGATCTTAATTCTAACTTTAGCCTTTTAACCCTCTGGCTTCACCAGCCAAACCCCCGCCCAGTCCTACCCCCCCCCCGAACACCAACAGCCCCCCCCCCACAAAACACCCCCTCATTTTTGACTATGTCTTGACCTTGAGACCAGTCTCACCTTGTTGTGCTCTAAAATCTAATTGCTGTGCTGTAACCAGGCCAGCTTCATTTCTCTTCAGTTGAGTGGCGCACGTATTTCATGTTTTCTGTGATGCGGCCCGCCTAATTGTAATGAGAGTGTGCTCAGTATATTAATCCGCATGTTATCTTTTTTTTCCGATCTCTATGCCCTGTACATTTTTTTGAAAAAAATATCATTTCCCAGCACGACGTATTGCCCGCGAAAGCGGCAACTGTAAACGGGAGTCAACGATCTTCCCAGCTGGCTTAGAACTGATCTGCGGTTTCAAAGTGAAGCAGCCAAAGCAGTGAGGCAGTTGTGTACCTACAGTATTAGCGAGTATGTTCCACGGGGCATCAGTGCATACTGGACCTGCATTGCCATCATGAGCACTGTGTAGATCGGGTAACCCAATAACATCACAGTATTGTTTAACATTTATTTTGTTGATATCCACTGTCCATTCTACAGTCTGCACAGATGAGTTCATATTTTGTAAATCCATTCTACTCTAAGTATAAACCAGGAGAAGCTTTGAGTCCCACTTACTACGACTGCCGGTTTCCACAAGACGTGACCAGCAGACACGCTGTCGTCTATGGTCCCAGCAGCGGCGCAAGCTTCCAGCACCCAGCTCAAGTTCAAGATTTTTACCACCATGGGACATCTGCACTTCCTAATGCTGGCTTTCAACAGAATCCTTGTGGAATTACGTGTCATGGTGACCCCTCTAAATTTTACGGATACGATAACTTACAAAGACAGCAAATTTTTACGACACAGCAAGAGGCCGATCTGGTACAATATCCTGACTGTAAATCGTCTAGCAGTAATATTGGCGAAGAACCAGAACACTTAAATCAGAACTCGTCTCCTACTCAAATGTTTCCCTGGATGAGACCTCAAGGTTGGATATATTAGAATTAGCTTCCATCTCACGTTTTACTGCACAGTTATATCGCCAACGTGTTTTAACGCGGTCAGTCTGTAATAGTCAGTCTGCTTTTATAGCAACACTTTGTATGACATTACCGTTCAAAGCAAGGCTTGTTGTTCTTGTTGCTAGTCTGTAGTGATTTGCTTGTGTGCATTTTCCCAATATTTACTGTCTCCTGTGATTCTTGTGTTGTTTAGCAGCGCCCGGCAGACGCAGAGGAAGGCAAACTTACAGCCGCTTCCAAACACTGGAGCTGGAAAAGGAATTTCTGTTCAATCCGTATCTGACTCGAAAGCGAAGGATCGAGGTTTCACATGCTCTGGGACTGACAGAGAGACAGGTGAAGATTTGGTTTCAAAACAGGAGAATGAAGTGGAAAAAGGAAAACAACAAGGACAAATTTCCAAGCTCTCGGAACGACGACGAGGAGGAAGAGGTCAAAAAAGAACAGGAAGAGCCTGAGCAGGAGACAACAGAAAAAGAGACCAAGTAACTTTACCCCCTTTGGCCTCTAAGCAAAACGTCATTCAGTTTGTCCAAACTGCACTGTTAAACAGTGTTGAACAGAATGAATCTCCGGCACATTGATGGCTAGGTTAATGTAAACTGTCCACCTGTTTTTTGAAATTCTTTAGAGCCTTAATTCAACATTATTTCTCATGAATTCGCTGTGCATCATTTTAACCTTTTCAATCACACCTTGACAGATCAGCCATCAAATAGAAATTTGCGGCTCCCCTTATTATAAGTGGCAAGTGGCAAAATCACAGAAGAAATCGCCATTTTGAATAAAGGTTTTATTGCTTTTTAATAAGTCGAAAATATGAGATGGTATCGTGATTGATTTAGTTTGTTGATTTTATTTAGCATTTTGTGATTATACCCAACAACATGAACTGCCTAATAGAATGAATAATTTGGAATGTATTGCGAACACACTTAATGATAGAAAAAATGTGCACTTACGATGTGTCTTAATTACTGTGCGTTTGAAATAATTGGTGGTGTATTGCGGCCGGAAATTCTCAACCATTACCTATCTCTGATACGCAAATTATAAACACAAGCAAAAAATGACAAGGTATTCCGCAGCAATAGTCACTTTTTAAGATGCTCGAATGTGATTAAATTAATAAATGTTGATTACATTTAATTGTGTACTTGTTTCATTTTCCGACAAGTATTCCGAACGAACAAAAATGTTGGAAAGGAAAATCAATCCGGTCATCTCGAAACAATCAACTGAGATTACTGGATTACTATCTTGCCAGTTTTTTGCGGCTGCTTCTAGGCTGCTCCTTTCCAATGAAATCAGATGTACTTTATTTTTGTTTCTGTATCTCTGTAGTCACAATGTTTAAGCCTGCCATGCAGCAACACGGCCGTTACATGGACGCAAAAGCCTGAAGATGGCGTAATTCTTTATATGTAGTTATAAAAGTTAATGATATCGTCGATGATTAGAATATTAGTTTATCTATGCTCCAAGTTAAAAGTATTTCCAGTGACCATTGGCTAATGAGATCACATGCCCGGCTCATGTGTGGCTAAGCCGACGCTGTAAAAGTTAGTGTTTGGTGTTACACTGCGGTCTACTGTACGCGTATATCAGCAAATCTCGTAAAACCGACAATAAAAGTTCTAATACTACAAATCACTCGACAAACTGTAGACTTCTGGCTCCATTTTATTTTTCTCTGGTTTAAAGGTTGGGGAAGAAAGCAACATCTTGGGTTGCCGAACAACCTTCCAACTTTCCGCAAAATTTTCCTTTATCAGCGATTACGCCACATTTAATTTTTAATAGTATCAGTGGACATGTTGCTTATAAACTTCAATCATAAGAACTGACAATTTCGAATCTCCATATTTGCACAGGGAGTACAACAGTATGATCAGTCTGAAACAATAAAGATGAATTCATAAGAACAAACAGGAAACAACGAGAGGGGGGAAATGCAAACATTGTATTTCAAATGTTATACAAACCATTAAAAGCCGCTGTTTATTTGCAGAACTAAAAATAGCAATGTGTGTTTTACCCGCGAGTTCGAGAATCCACTGTGATAACACAAACAGCTGTGATTTTCGAAACAACCTCAGCCATGTAATTGAATGAAATTCTGTGTTACAATGGTCAGAGTCATACGGCCGCAATATCCTCACTGGATCAGGTATAATCGGATAAGAAACAACAATTAACCAGTTGAAGACAGAGAATAAAGCAGTTGGGGACTCGCAGTTTTTGAGCTACATATTGCCAATTTTAAGCATTTTAATGTTACTTGCATTATATTTTATTTTAATACAAATAAATTTTGTACACTATTTTAAATATCAAACAAGCTATCTGATCGCAATATATAAAAAATTTTACAGAATAAATCGCTTCTAAATAAATTAGTAACAGAATGTTTTTTTTTATTGCATTTTCGTGCCTGAGGGGGTTATAATTGCTCAAAATTACGTTTTTCATGACTCTCTTACACGCATTACCAGGACTATTTTATCTGTGTCAAACGGGATATGTATATATATATATATTTAAAACATGCTATTCTGCATTTGGTCCCATTTACAAATCGAATGATCAAATCCCCACAACTGCGATCAGGAAGGGACTGCACAATGATGGTAGAACCGGCCTTATAAAATATTTGGATTAGATTTCAGGAATCTCAAGTTTTCACTGAACGAATTGTGTACACAATGACAAGGCTTGTGGGTGGAAATAATACTTTGAAATGGACATAACTTCCTTTGGTTTTACCAAAGAATGGAGATTAACAATCGCCAGAGATGGGTTTAAAAAATTCTTCTTCTGAATTGTTGCATACATTTCCCGTTGGTTGTTGAAGACTGGTCAGTTTGGGTCTCGAACAAAACCGCTGTAGAAACTCCTTCCCCCATCTAGTCTCCAACCCCAGCTCACCCCAGAGAAAGATTTTCCCAGAATAATGGCAACTTGCCCTGTTGAAAGTTTTATTAATAATGCATGTTATTTTGATGTAACCTTGATAGTAGTCTTATCATCATCATAAGTTAAAAATGAGAAGTCGTCACATTTCTGGTTAGCTGTTCTGGATTTTCGCCGTAAGATCACTTTAAAACACCAGAGCAAAGGTAGGCAAATGTTAGCTTTCTCCGGAGTTAAATCTGCGGGAGGTATGGAGTAATGGAGAAAGTTGGAAAGCAAATATCCAGCAGACATACTTTCCTCCTAATGGACGAAGTTCCCGTGCATTTAACATGGTGTAACCTTAATTGCTGAACCCGCTCACCGACACTGAAGGGAAAAGACACCAAACCAACTGATTCAAATGGTTACGCTTGCATTCACGTCTAACCTGTTAACGCAGTGCAGAAGCGATTTTAGCCGATTAAGTCAAATTCCATGGAGCACTCGAATATGTTATGCCCTTTTCTCCCGACAGTGGGAACACGAGGAGTTTAATGCCGTGCTCTATGTAATTAGATACCTACATCTGCTGCTATTTATTTTTCAGTTTCGGACCTGTGTAAAATGTGTCATACAACGCTTCGAATAAGTTACAACTTTCCTTGTGATATTAATTGTTATTAAAAGGAAGGCCGCAGTTTTGATGCCTATTTAGCAGGCGCTTCTGGTTCGTTTGCTTTGCTTTCTTCTTTTAATTAGACCTTATTGAATGAAGTGAGAATGTCGGGAGGAAACGAAAAGAAGCTTTCTGATACATAACTGGCAGCGGTAGGTATTGTGGGTGTTACCGTTTTATTATGTTTTGGATTAGCTTTAATTTCAAAAATGCTTATGTCTCTACTTGATGCGTCTAAAGGACGTATTAAAGAAGTAGCACTATGGAATGCGCCCCGCATTGGTCGATATTCCTCTTGATGTTGTCGTGGTATTTCCGCTGATATAGTTAGTTAAGGCGTTCGTTACAATACACATTATAGCAAATGGCTGTAGCAAAGAACTCGTTAAAGGGAACATGGCGCTTGCTAGCTATACTTGTGAAATCCGCAAGGAATTGCTGCGAATTCCTTTTTGTTTGAAGAAAATTTACAACTTTGTAATGGACCTTTTACGACGGAGCCCGTGATCCTATTGGCTGGCATTGGTCATGTGAATCTAGTAACTGCGTTCATGGCCTTTTCATGATTTCCCTTGTGAATATTTCACTGCATTCCGCTGCAAACTCGTCTCAAATCGTCTTTTCTGTCAGTATCTCCCCTTGCCTGCTTTTGTCGTTGGTATTTGACGCCAGCTGCTTGCAAAAGGGAGACTTTCTGCTGTATTCGCAGTTTCCAGTCCTTTTCTGTACAACTATGAGGAAGTCATTGGTCTCATGCTGGGATTCGGCAACCTGATCACTCTTACAGACCTCTGACGTCTGTTTACAGTCTTCCATTTACCCTTCAATTTTCGGTTTATCTTTTTCAAGTTATTTTATTGATCGAAAAAGTAGAAATGGAATACAACATCCAGCTGGTTACTGTTTTGGGGAAGCGCCCTTACGCGGGTAAGTGCTGTGCTGTTTTAAGCTCTGCTGTTGCAGATCATATTGCTGTAAATGGATAGCAGCGAAACGGCGCTTGTTTCATTCGTTGAATTCTCGGGAACTGTTTCGGAGGTTGTGTGCTAATCGGGCTGAACGACCAAACCCCATCATGGGTTTGAAAACGGTCCGTTCAAAGCAGATCCAGGTGGTCACTGGAATTCATATGGCGGCTGTGGCGCAGATTAATTAAATATTTATTTCCCGCAATAGAACGGAGAGCTGCGATTCGTGGCTATCTTTGAAATGAAAGCATCGCCACTGGCAGCTGACATGTTTTCAAATGATCCAGAGTGGAGATGTATCAGAATGTGTAACTTGGTAGTGGAATAGTTATTAGTGCTATTGCAAATTGCGCTATTTTGGTTGCTGTTGTTTTGCGGGAGCTGATGATTGGCAGCTTCAGTTTGTTTCTCTCTGCTATTTTGCATAAGAGGACATGAGTTAGACCTTCCAATGTTAAGGATTAGCTGCAGAGATGAATGACATACATTGCCTTAATCCTAGTAATTCCGTGCACTAATCATGGAAGTAATCAGAATTTTGGAGATGCGTTTAACCAACATTTTAATAATGTCTGACCACGTGACGGAACTTTGCACAAACGAGTGGTACTCTTCCACTCAGTACCCCGCAGTAGATATCAGATTGTGCCCTCAATATGCTTGTACCGAACAGGGAATGAGGAAATATTTCTAATTACGTCAATATTTGCAATGTTTAAAATAATAGTAACTCGGCCATGTGACGAGTAATTTCCCGCAACAAGTTGTCCCCAGATTGGATTGTGTATTTTATAAAAGCTGTGGGGTCTACATACGTGAAGTGTTTTAAATTTGGAACCGACAGCTCCAGTCCACGTTAAAATAATTCACAATGCAGAACAGAATGATCACCAGAAACCATTGAGTTCCTTTCCTTTGTCCTGAAGCTTTTCTCAATACGAACTACTTAATTGCAAAGTCTTGCTGCAGAAGTATGCACAGAAAGGTGAGGGTGGGGGGAGCTGCTATGCGAGATACTGTCATCAGGAGATTAGCTGATCAGTGTTCCTTTGCTGTAATTTGCCAAGGCATTGACTTGTATGTATTTTTCCAATTATTAAATATTCGGAGAAAATTGTTTAAATTTTCTGACCGAATATTACAATAATTGCATCCATTTGAAATGAATGGTTATGTCCATAGTTTGAAAATTGATTTCTCTTTCAATCTTCTTTTATTGAAAACAGATTAAACAACTATAGTTTGACCATCCATGTTGTGTATTATTATAGTGATCTTGATGTGTTCTGCATCTGTCTATTTGTAAATGAAGATTTTGTAAAACACCGATCTAAATGTCTGTCTGCCTATCTATTTATCTGTCGTATAGACCAACAGACGTATTGTGAAGGTGAAACAGAGGCTGTTCAAAATGCCGCTAGAATCAAAATGATGTGCAAAGATAGCGTAATATCTGTAATTTGATCATTTGCCTTATAACATTGTGAATGTTTCGATATTAAATGTTGGGTTTTTTTCGTCAAAGCCTACAAATAGCAATGTATGCACTCTTGAATTAACTCAGTTTGAAAAAAGTAATGTTATATTCGCTATTGACAAAGCAGTTTCTGGTTTGCCTACATTTTCAGGCAAAAATTGACATTAATTGTGTTCATAAAACCTCTTATATAATTCTTAATGCATCGCCCATGTTCACGCCTATGTGTCAGATAATTATTTTACAGACTTTGCAAATGAAACTTTACTCGTTCCCATTAAATAATTAAATGAGACAAAGTTGTTCAAGAATAATTTTCGTTAAAGCTGATTACCCAGAATTATGTGACTATTATACGCTGCACTTTTTTTTACAATATATGAAAAGGCTGAATTGTGGTTTCACAGATTTTTTCTTAACAATCCGTAATTTAGCATGAATATGTAGAAAAATAAAACTGAGCCACAGAAATATCATTGTAATTATAATAATCAGAAAGCGGATATTTGCTATCAGGTCATTTACTAGTTTTAGGATCGAATTATTTAATTTGTGTTGTAATGTGTCACGTAGCCGTGGTTTTGCTAAAACTGCTAAAATACTCAACAAGAACCACTGTATCTGTGTGCGTCGGTCTCTGTGTGTCTGTGTCTGTGTGTGTATATGTGTGCGTGCGTCTCTGTGTATATATCTGCCTCTGTTTGTGCGTGTGTATAATTCACAGTAAATGTCCAACTGTGTATTTAGAAGCTTCACTCGAATAGGATTTGCTCATACTACATCTTCGGTACCATCGATGCTCAAATATGATTTCCAAATAACAATTTTAGAATCAATAATTTCGAGGAAGCATCTTTCATTTAACTTCTGTAACAAAAGTAGTCTGAATCCCGACAACCATTTCGCATTAAATCATTTATTGCACTGCTTTTATATTGGCATCACATTGTGAAAGTCGGTCAATTTTAATGCAAACATTCCACACAGATTCTAGGCTTAAAAGAAACGGTCCATTGCAATCTCAAAGACAACTCAGTCCTCGTAGTATTGGCAAACAAACGAATTTGCAGAACGCGATCTTCTTCTGAGTTTGCCATAAGGGAGACGCACTGGAAAATGACAATCAACAAAAATGAATTGGTATATGATGCACGCAAGGATTTCTTCATTCCACGGTCAGAACGAAATCCACAATTGTGCCTGCTGAAAGGGAAAATGTTTGACTGTCAGCTATTCTATTTCACAAGTTTCAAGTGTACAAATGTTAGGTGAAGTAGAAAAAGTAAAATCGCTATGGTCAGCAGTAGAAACCATGCTGCTCAATAATGTATACTGTTAAGAACGGCCCGATTTGTTAGTACAGGACAAAGACAATATTTCTTCCACCGAGTGTCACACGGCTGCCGCAGCCTTAGATTTACGAGCGTTAGACAGAGTCAGTTAGATGTGTCGCAACTGTGTTCTTCAAGCAGAATTACAAGAAAGGAACACAAATCAAACTTCACAAAGAATAAATAAAACCATCTCTATAGTCTGGCATTTTATCTAAAATGCACTTGTTAAAATATTGCATTTTTACTTCTTAAGCTTAACCCATCGCAAGCTATAAATTGTAATCTATGATTGATCTGGAATCAATGCACTTTTAATCAAGGCCTATGCGGTTCTACCCTGAAACCGAAGCCCCGAATAATAATTTCTGAATAATTCCAGAATAATTTCTGAAGAAGGGTCTAGGCCCGAAACGTCAGCCTTCCAGCTCCTCTGATGCTGCTTGGCCTGCTGTGTTCATCCAGCTCTACACCTTGTTAGCCCAGAATAATACCTGGGGTCTATGTGGGTTTATGTTGTTGAGGGGATCCTGGCATGGATTACACGGGCTGTGGTTACACATATCATATTTTCCTTGAAATATACTTCGACTTCAATTAATTGGTAACACTTTAGCCCTCCAATTCTTAAAAGCTTGAGTGATAGGTAGCCGGAAAGTACGTACAAATAACTCAATTCTCCAACGCTACAAGATGTCACGATAAATAACGTCAAATGTTTCTGCGAGAGAAAGGAAATTAAATCCTGTGTGGGTTTGTATGAGAAACTAGTGTGCGTGGGGTGGGGTGGTCAAAACAAAAACCGGAGAACACTATTTTGTTGCTAACCGACACACTAATCTATAGGAACATCCTTTTCGTTCCAAAGTAAAAGAAAAGGAAAACACATAGATGTACTCCACCTGTTTGAAAGATTACTGCCATTCTGAGCGGACTTTTGTAAGAAGTCTTTCAGGCCCGCACTCGCATGGTTGATGCTTGACACCACTGTCCTTCATCATCTGTGCATTTCCAAATTGCAATTTGAAATTTATAAACTGCCTATTCCTCAAACCGAAAACGAGTTCAAATGTTGCATTCATTTCTCTGTTCGTTTTCTTGCCGTTCTGGCGGGCTCAGATTGTTTGGATTTGCACTGCAGAGAACGACAACAGGCCAAAATTGGAGTCTGCACCGTATGTTTTGGAAATCTGTATAGGAGGCTATCTTTCCACAGTTCTTTTTGTTTTAATTCCCTCAGCACGTACACAGGAATATGCATCAGACATCAGAAATACCTCCACCGGTTCTAAGTAAAACATAAGTTGTACAAGGGACAACTGTAGTAACATTCACGAGGAATTCCGCAGCGAAAGTAGAGATAAACACTTTGGCACACCCGCTTAGCTTCTCAGTCTATCCAGGCTGGTTTCGGGGTCGAATAACCAGTCACAAAGTAAAACACAACGTTGGAATGGCGTTTTTGAAACCAATTCCCAATCACAACAGACAACATACAATTGTACGGAAATCGGAATTTCGTAGGCAAGTTGCGGCGTTGCATGGGGAAACTAATGGGAAACTTTATGAAATGATTTTAATGCGTAGTGTATAGAGTTATAGAAGTAATGTGCAAAAAGCTCTGCGCAGTGTTCTACGAAAACAACATTGTAATCTCTATTAAGTGTCGAGAACCGGACTGTGGGTGTAAGTGAGGGGAGGCTGCCTGTGAATCCTACATTGAGATAAGCTGTCTTTCAGGAAAACAAACTTTCCCGATGTTGTTTCCCACAAGGAAGAGAAGTTAAACATCCTAAATCTTTGAGTAAAAATCAGAGTCGGATATCTGCAGAAGGTTTACTTATCACTTATTTCGATTCATGCAGTTCGCCGCAATCAAATCGTTCATTTTCAACCAATATCGAAGTAAAGGATCGAATGCATAATTAATACGAAAGAAAAGTTTTAAATTGAATTGAATTTGAAAGGGTTAATGGTGTTACAAAATATTTTGTATTATTGGGCTGTAGTGTTGAATAACAAACTGATCAGATCAATTTTTGCAGTTCCTTAATATTGTACCTATCATCAGCAGAAGCCAGTTCCACAAACTACTTTGCATATGTATTATACACAAACCTATGCATTTACAAAATTATTAAGCAGTATGTTTTTATTCGCATACTTACTTTGTGCCTGTGCTCCTGTACGTGTCGTTGGCTAAAACAAATCAAATGTCGATAACAGAAAACAGTTTTCATACCCAATGTTTAACAGGGTTTTAACTATGAACCATGCTACAAATGAACCTACTTGGAAAATAGATAGCAAAGTGTAAACGTCAAAGCCTCTTCCGGGGATTTTGTTTTGTCGATATGAACCTGGCTTTCTTCATGTTTGCCAGCAGGGAGCGCTATAGGATCATGCTGGCTAAGTCATACCAAGTATTGTCACTGCATGAATTACCCCAGGGTCAGGCACAAGAATTTACGACTGGTCAAATAAAGCACGTGATCTAAACTTGTGCCCCATATTTGGTTGCATACGTAGAAAGCAGAGAAATGACATGTGCCTTTTATTTCCATATTTCATTATATATCGCGCGGTCTAGTGCCGAATAAACGTCTAAGAACCACAAATCAAAACCCGTTAAAGGCAGATGAGTTCCTACTTTTTAAACTCCTTCTCAGGTCGCTACCAAAATGGCCACGATTATCAGTTGCCGAGTTATGGAAACACCGCTTCTGTCGGCGAGCATTTCAGGGAGTCGACAATGCTCTCCGCCAGGTATGGCTATGATTACACCGGGATAGACCTCAGCATGACTCGCTCGAACTCAAATCTGTGCGGTGACAGTGAGAGGTCTACCAACTACCTGCAAACAGTTAGTAACACCTTTCATAGCTCATCTGGGCTGAAAATTAAATCTCCTGAACCTACCTTCCGTTCAGGATCTTTAATAAGTTCATCAGATAGTGGTATTAAGACGGGTGCTACTATCACAGAGTCCAATCACTCATACCAGGACACATCGCCGGTAAACGATGAACATCCTGAGGGGACGAACAGCCCCAAACCGGAAAGTGGGCAACTAGACAAGGATCCTGCACTGCAAATGCAGATATACCCATGGATGAAAAAGATGCACCTTAACCAAGGTACGCCATTTGACCTTTTAACATGCCTTTTATTCTTGATCGAATTAATTTTTCAGACTGAGTAATTAAATAACTTAGCAAGCATGAGCTAAATATATAACGATTACTTGTAAGAGGATGACAGTTTGAATCATATGGGAACATTAAGACTGTTGCTCCAAATTAGGACAACAATTAGCCAGAAGTTGCACCATGCTTGCAGCTTACCGATTGAAAATGAAAATATTTTATATTATTTTACATAAAATATCGGAACAATTAACACTTTGTAATATAATGAACAAAGGCATTAATCTAATTGTCTGAAATTTTATAATTTCATAAATTTCACTGCGTGTAGTAATGCATCTTTCAACTTTTTCTTAAGAAGGCTTAAGCGGGCTAGAAGGGAAACGAACAAGGACAGCATATACTCGCTACCAGACCCTGGAGCTGGAGAAAGAATTCCATTATAACAGATACCTTACACGACGCCGGCGGATAGAAATCGCTCACGCCCTGTGCCTGACTGAAAGACAAATTAAAATCTGGTTCCAAAACCGAAGAATGAAATGGAAAAAGGACAATAAATTGAAAAGTATAAATATCAGCCCCCCAGGAGCAGGTTTTCAGCCATAACTTGTTTCATCCCGTTTCTAGCTATATAATATTGCTGTCCAGACGATCTTTTATGTTGCAATAGGAAAGGTTATTTGGCCACATTAAGTGCTCCTCTATGAGATGGGTTTATTAATACGTTGTTCTCATGTGGGTACAACGTCTTGCTATCAATTTATAAAGAAAAGAATACAATTTATCAGTTGTCACCAACAGATGTTGAATCGTGTTTTTATACATTGGTGGTAATAGCCATGCCTAAATTTAGATTATAACAGAGAATAAAAGAGGTCATTCGACGGAATGTAGCCAAGCAAACCATTTGTCTCATGCGAACAGAATGAAGTTGTGCTGTATATCTGGTTTCTGAACAAACGAATCCTACGCCGAAACAGAGCTTCGCTAAAACTTTAAATTAATAATATTTTATAAACTTAGATGAATATTGTTCCCTTCATCTCTTTTTACATCAAACTTTCTTTTGTTTGATTTTGCCTTGGAATGTTTATGGCACGAGTGTTGCTGTGGTCCCAGGTATATATGTCTTGTATATTCTGTACAGATATAATGTTTGAATGTCTGACTTTGTCCTATGTACATGAAATAAGTGATTTTTTTTGTCTACGACATTGAAATAAAGTCAGTTTTATCAATAAACATTTCAGCTGGTGTATGAATTCCAATGATATATAAAGAGACGAAC